CCCAGGCGCGGGCGGCAGGGCCGGCGCGCGTGGGCGGCCGCCGCGCGCGCACCAAAGAAAAAGAAAAAAAAAGAGAGAGGGCGCCGAACAAAAAAAAAAAAAAAAAAAAAAAAAAAGGGAGGGGACATGTCTATGAAGAATTTCAGCTAACAAGAATGAGACAACTAGAAAGTCATCATTTTACAACCACAAATTCAATAACTGAAAGACAAAGATAATGAAAGGATGCTAAAACCACTGAGTTACTGGGTAACGAAATATTCAGAGGCTCTTAAGGTATCATCCCACAGATTAGTTTTTAATTAGAAAAGAGAAAAGTTACCTTTAGAATGAGGAAATCTGGCAGTTATTAACTTAATATCACTAAAATGACACAAGTTGCCATTATATGACTTTTGATGTGATACAGTGGGAAGTTCCAACCTCATCAATGTAGTACTGGTGATAACCAAATGCAAAGTGTGATCCACAAAATAAAAAGGAAAAAACCACCAGAAAGGATACATCAATGCTCAATTTCGTGGAGTGGATAATGGGACTATGACAATGTAGAAGAATGCCCTTGTTCTCAACAGATACAAGCTGAAGTGTTTAGGGGTGACACGTCATGATGTCTGCCAACTTACTTTCAATGAATTCATAGAAAAAGGGAGAAGAAAGTGTGCATGTATTGTATGTTGAGAGACAGAACTAGAGCCACTGTGGCAAATGTTAATACTTGGTAACTGTAAGTGAAGGGTACATGGGTGCTCACTGCATTATCGTTTTACCTTTCCTATAGGTTGGACATTTTTCAAAATAAAAGACTGGAGAATAAAAAGAAATGAGATATATTTCCCAAGTCCCAAGGATTTAGGGAATCCTTTCAACTGTAGTTTTCTTGCCCATCATTTATTGAAAATTATTTTTATTATGAATTTATGACAAATTTAAGACACTTGCAAAAATGACCAAAATATGATAGAATTGTTTATTATTTTATGCCAACAGCCTATATATGCCATGAATGCACAAAACACTGCCCATTTTACTTGTTAGTAGTTATCATCTAATTCTAAAACAGAAATATGAATACATAAGGAATCAAAAGATATCAGCATTACTTAGAAATCACTTAGACCTTAATGTGTGCCCTTAAAGCACTTCTCCAAATGTTTTCTAAAAATTAAATTTCATGATAATAAATTCAGTTCACTTCAAAAAACACTCTAATGTAATACAGAAGTACATATTGGAAAATCCTATTTCAAGCTCTTGAATTGGAGGTTTAACTTAAGCTTAATTTGCTCTAAGCTAAAAAGAGTACAAAGGAATCCCAAAAGCAATCTTACCTTAACAGGCATTCCAGTACAGTGTAAACCAAAGGGAAATAGACAAGTTTTTCCTTTCAATCTCTGGTACCCTACTGCAAACTATAGAAAAAAAATTCAATTTAAACTACAAATTTAAATGCTAGACGAATACAAAATTCTGACTTTTCACAAAGATCATGAGTTTTCCTCTTCACATCTTCCTTTAGAATACCAGTTAGATTTTATAGTCATTCCAAAGTTATCCTTTTTTTTCTGTCTTTTCACCAACCTAGAAATTACTTATGAACATGTATACATACCTATAGACCCCTGCACACACACACATACAGCATGTGAAAACAGAAAAATTAAATTACTTTAACATAAAAACCATGCTTAAAATTAAGGAATTCTAAGTTCCCTTAACAGGAAATAAATTCTATAGATGCTATTTTCTTTAAAATAGTATTTATTAAAGACCCTCCCATCCCATTATATTAAACATAGAGGAAGCTTTACCTCACATTTGGATAAAGAAAATGTATGTCCCAAGTGAAGGCGCCCATTCATATATGGATATGGGAAGGTTACAAAGTACTTGTCCTTGCTGCAAAACAATCGTAAAAAAGAAAGTACAAAAAAGAAAATGTTAAATTCCTTTTACAATGAAGGGTGGGGTCATGGGGACACTTACTATAAATAACTTGTTTAAATTTAGTTATTTAACAGACATTGAAAATTAAATTTGTAAATCCAGAAATTAAAAGCTCTCTAAAATTGAAACTTGTTTTTGATTTAGAAAAACTAAGGTATTTATAGGTGGCTATTAAAGAACTAAATATCCTTGTAGCAAATATTGGAGGTTTAACTTAAGCTAAAATACTGAGTTCAAAATGATATACTAAAAAAAAAAAATTAATAGGGAGACTGAATTAATTTACTGTTTTACTGATTAAACGAGATATGCTTTCATTAGATATATAGAAAGCAATTCAAAGCCTCTCAGGTAAAATAAAACATCCTCAAAATTACACGATATGTGGTAAATTCCCTTAAAAAGCACCTTTTTAAAGCTGCTTAATGTATTATGTTATACTCCTTTTTTCTATGAATCAAGTGTATCTAACAGACATATGTAAGTTATAAAGCACACCTGTGCTTCATAAGTGACCACCTGTAAACACACCATCCAACTTATGAACTCACTGAAGCTACCCGTGTGCTACTCCCCACCCTCCCACCAGACAGAACCATTATCTTGAAATTTACTTTTGTCATTCCTTTGTTTTTGAATAGTTTGCACATAAGTCTATGCCTTTAAACAATACATCATTTAGTTTCACTCGTGAGCTTTTTTCATTCAGTGTTATATTTCTAAGTTTCTTCAGTTCATTTTCTTTCACTGAGCAAAAGCACTTTCTAATTCACTTTTGATTACTTTATATTACCTTAGATTTGACCAAAGTTCTAGAACCAAACAGAAACTTCAAATTATAGTTTAAAGTATAACACCAGAGACTTTGTATTAGAGCAAATTCTTTTCCTCTCTTTAAAAAAAAAAAAATTCCATTAGAGTGTAGCTTAGTAGCAAGGATAGACTTTGGAATCAGAAAGTCCTGATAAGAAGTCCAAGCCCTGTCAATTCCTAGCCATGCAACCTTAAGCTGGTTACTTAACCTCTCTGTGTTTCAGTATACTCATCAATAAAACAAAAATTAAAATATTGGTAACCTTAAAGCGTTACTAAGAACATTAAATGAGAATATGCATGTTAAAAAATGGCCTATTTCCTATTGCCTTGGCATATTGAACAATACCTGTTCAATATTAGCTATTATTGCTATTGTTGTCAGTGCATTTCCTCAACTCTAAGAAGCACATTTTTCTACAGTCCAACGTATCTGAAATTGTGACGCATCTTATAATTGATGCATATATTTACTGTGGTACTGTGTTGCAGCAGTTACTTTGTTTTTCCCCAATATCATATCATTATCTACGGTCTGTCTTCTAATAAACAATTCTTAACATCAAGGCAATACAGATTTATAAAATAAGATCTTTAAATACAGAAATCCTTCAAAATTTATAATCTGTGCCTCTGGAGATAATTATCACTATAATATGAATCTCTGTAACAGAATGACTTGCTATTATCAGTCAGCAAAGATAAAACTTCAAAACATTTTCCTTTGTCTAACTATGAAAAATATTAGTTTTTAAAAAAACCTTTACGTAGGAAAAAATCCTTTAAGATTCCATAGGAAAGGGGATGCTAATTTGAAATAGAGAAAGTGGAAGTTACCTCCTGTTTCAGACATTGTAAATACAATCTGCCTTATTCCTTCCACAGAGCAGTCTCTGCAGCCAATGGTTCTGGAAACACAAGGTGTAGAGTTTCACAAACTATTACTCACCTAGTCTGTTTCTCTAAATTAGATGCATTGACCTCAAACACTTTCTTGGCATCCCATTTTTCTTGGACTTCTTTCTCAATCTTCTTCAAGAAGTCCACTTTGGTTGTTCTTTTTCTTTCCTATTGGACACAAAAGAGATAGAATAATACACTCTATATTTCAGCAGACTTGCTTTAAAAAGAGAAAAAAAAATTTGGGTTCACACAGAACTGAGCTGTTTACTGACAGATTAATTTTTCCATGGTTATCTTTAAATTTAAATGAGTAAGACTAAAAATTAGGGCTATCATGACCTGATAGGGTTATCCACTTCAGACGTCAAAGGGATGACTAAAGAATTACTTAAATACATAAAAAAGCTGTGAAATACTTGTTTTTAATTAGATACTACAATATAACACCATTGTCAAATGTTCCTATTTAGTTAAAATAGATGAATACTTAGAAAAGCATAGGATGGTGCAGTGCCTGCTTGCCCAGCTGCAATTATGCCCACCAAAGGAGGATGGTGAGGCCTAATGGGTAGAGGCTGAGAGAGGATTAGTCATCTGCGTGTTCTTTTTTTCAAGGAAGCTGATGAAGAACTTCTCTCCAAAATGGTTAACAGGCTATTAATATGAAATTAAAATGAAACAGAACGGCAAACATGCCTCCAGCATATTGGATCTACCTGGCAACATTCCCATCATCCCTTATGCCACCCTTGGATGAAAATAAAAGGAAAAAACATACGTGATCACTCTAACTCTGAAAAAGAAAAAGGATTAGAACTTCCCTCTCAGTATGTGACTCTGTGAAAAAGAATCAGCTACTAAAAGCACGTGTGCTACAGCCGAGGTGGAACATGGGACTTATGTAACTGGCAACTGGGAAAGCTGGATACCAATGGACCATACACAATCTAATTCTGTTTTGAAAACTTAATATTAGTTTCTAGAATTTTATTTTCTTGTACGAAATTATCTGAACCGAAATTAGATTTTCTTCCCCTTCTTACACACTAACATTTCCAGATTCTGCAGCATTTTCAATCGAGAAAATACCCTGGTTCTACTTATACTGAATACCTTTACAACCTACAGGGCAAGTGACCTTGCCATGTCATGTCATGTCTCCCTCTGTCCTTCCACCCAACTATTTAAAACATGCTTTCTACTCATATCACAGATATACTGGATTTTTAGACAGCTATTTTTAAAAATGGTTACACAAATTTGAAGTACTATGCAAACGGGACTTCTGTGCAATTAAAAAAACCCTAAACTTACCACTATTTCTTCAATAACTATCTTAAATATACCTTGTGTATTATGTAATAAAAATAAGAGTACTAAAATTGGGTAAGATTCAGTACAAATCTACCATAGAGTTGTCAACTCTGTTTTACTATTTTCAGTTTTATATTTTTTTTCTTTCTTTCTTTCTTTTTTTTTGGCCATGCTATACGGCTTGTGGGATCTTAGTTCCCTGACCAGGGATTGAACTCCAGCCTTCCCCACTGAAATTGCAGAGTCCTAACCACTGGACCGCCAGGGAATTCCTTTAGTTTTCTTTATTTTAAATCAAAGGATTTGATTAGTAAATCAAGTTTACTATTCCTTTTTATTTTTTTAAGCAAGTTTAAGATAGAAGAGGACAAGCAACAGAAAGATGAAATGTCAGCTTACAAGGGGAGGTGCAATGATGGATTAAAAGAACCCTGCCACAAAGGCAGAGAGGAAATAAGAAAGAATTCCACATTTGAAAAGTCATGGACATAAGTTTCTCTAGTACCAAAGGAAAATAAAAATGACAAGTAAATTTTTTATTTCTATAAATCCTGACCAGATCGTAATTGCTGTGAGTAGAACTTATATCAAAACACAAATCTGATCAAGTCAATTCCTCTTCAGAGGTTCTCTACTGCTCTCTGGATAAAGTCCATACTCTTAAACCTGGCACGCAAGGCCCTTCTTATCTCATCTTTGCCAGGCCCCTCCCTCTTCCCTCTCACCACCACTCCAGGCCTATTAAGCCACCTGCACTTTCCCAAGTGTGCCAAGCTCCCTCTCTCCCCTCTGGGCCTTTGTTTAAGCTATTCTCCCCGCCCTCATACCCCACCAATCTCTTTGCCTGGCTACCTCATCCTTCAGGTCCCAGCTGATCACCTGCCTTGATTCCCCAAGAGTGTATCAGGTACCATTCTTAATATGTTCCTACCTACCAGTATTACCTCTATGATAGCACTAATCACGCAGTATCAGTATCAGTCTATCTTCCCCATAGGACTATAAGTTTGTTCACAGTGGGGACTGTGCCTCATTTCTCATCATATCCTCAATGTCTAAGCTTGTAGCAGCTCTCAAATATGTGTTGAACATTTAAAGATTTAAAAAGAGAAATGAGTAACACTGCCAGCTTTTGCATACCATGGCCATAACAAAATAACCTAAGACTAAGAACTGGGTTGCATATTTGAGTCAAGTTGCTAAGCAATTTGGACTCTTTCCCAAGAATTTCCATAAAACTAAATGTGGCTGCATAAGGAATTTCCTTTTCCAAGAAAGAATAAGGCCCTCCATCTATTCACTCTTTTCCATTCCTGCTACCAACCAACTTCACTTAGACCCTCAGCTCCTTGGCCCCCTCTTACTGCAAAATCCTCTTTTTAACAAGTAACCTGTAAGTTATAAGTAAGTCTCTCTATTCCTATACATGCTGACCCCTGTTTTCAATTTTAACATGCAAGAACTACCATTTGAAAAAAAGCTATGGCAGAGACGATGGTTTGCCTATGCGATATCCATTCCCTCCCTTTCTTCCTCAGCAACAGATGCCCAACCTTACTTAGGGTAGTGCAGCAAAGGCAGTTAAGCATACTCTTCCATGGTTCCAGGAGAATTCAGATTGGAGCTATGTGACTAGGTTCTGGCAAAGGAGTTTTGAGCAGAAGAAAGTAAGTCACTTCCACCTGGCCCTTAAAACAGTCTGTACAACTCCTAATAGCCAACTTAATCTGTAGGTGGAACAGGCACACTGCCTAGGGCCCACAATACTTCTAGGGGCTCAACAAAATATTTTAATATCTTTTAGAATCAGAAGAAAAAGTTAAGCTTTTGGATAGAAGAAAAATCTTTAATATATAATATTAATATATCTGTCTTTATACAACACAGCTGTCAAAGATAATTTCTAATATTTTTTTTTTTACAGAGGAAGCAGCCCACAAAGGCAAAATTATCTAAGGCCTCATGAAGCCTTGTTGTACCTCCTATGCTAGGGTCATGCGTCATATGAAATCCCACTGTATCATTAGTAACCTCTTTCCTTTAACCAACTTAAGTTGGCTTCCACTGCATACAACCAAATAATCTCTCATATTTACCCAACTGGGTTGTAAACTCCTGGCAGACAGCAACTTTTAGAACATTTATAGTCACCTCAGCACCACATCCAATGCTAAGAGACACAGAAGTTACATGACAAATATTTTTTGCTTAAAAATGACATCAACCACCCATGAAAGCAACAGTCTTCACAAGTTACTTAGAACTATGTGTTTCTTTTCACTGTACTGAGCGTGCTAAATGCACAAAAGCTCTTCTTTGAGGTCTCTGCTTCTCAGAAAAACTTATTCCTCAAAACTCAAAGGTCAATTGTAATGAAATCTGATATTGGCCCCAGCATCAACTTGTATAACTTTGAGCAAGTCACTTGATCAATCTGAGTCTCAATTTCTTCATTGGTTGCTCAACTAATCAATTGGTTTGCTGTTTTGTCTCATTTTGTTTCATTTTGTTTTGTTTTGGGCCGCACTGCTTGGTTTGCGCAATATTAGTTCCCCGACCAGGGATCGAACCCATGCCCTCAGCAGTGAAAGTACAGAGTCCTAACCACTGGACAGCCAGGAAATTCCCAACAATTGATCATTTTAAGTAGTTAAAAGGTTATTTAACAAGAGCAAAGTTCCTAAACTTTGGCCCTACTGACATTTGGGGCCAAATAATTCTTTGTTTTCAGGGGCTGTCATGGGCACCGCAAGATGTTTAGGAACATCCCTGGCTTCTACCCACTAGCTGCCAGTAGCACACCCCCAAGTTGTGATAATCCAGAGTCTCCAGACCACATGTTCTCTGGGTGACAAAATCACCCCTAATAAAGAACCAATGAACTAGATAATAAACTTTTCCATATATTCATAGTATTCTGCAGTTCTTAACTTTTATGCACACTAACTTATTTGATCTTAACAACAACCCTAAGAGGTGGGCAACAATCGCCCTAAGAAGTGGGCAGACCAGCGATTACCATTTCAAAGATGATGAATCTGGGGCTTCCCTGGTGGCGCAGTGGTTGAGAGTCCGCCTGCCGATGCAGGGGACACGAGTTCGTGTCCCGGTCCGGGAAGATCCCACATGCCGCGGAGCAGCTAGGCCCATGAGCCATGGCCGCTGAGCCTGCGCGTCCGGAGCCTGTGCTCCGTGACGGGAGAGGCCACAACAGTGAGAGGCCCGCGTACCGCAAAACAAAACAAAACAAAGATGATGAATCTGAAGCTCAGAGATCATTATGCCAGCAAATGGTCAGGCTGGACAAAAACCCTTATCTTCTGACTTTTATTTCTGCTTTCTCTTAGTACTCTGGCCATATCCTAGCACCACTGGCTGTAGAACTTAGACAAGATCCTTAACCTCTTTAAGCCTCCATTTCTCTATCTATAAAATGAGAATAATAATTATATCTACCTTGTACTATTATTATGAGGATTAAGAGATAATACGCATGAAGGACTTAGCACAGTGCCGGCCCCATGGTAAATGCTCAATAATGCTAACCATTATCACAGAGAGACAACTAGACATCACGTGCTTTTTATCAGATGCCAAAATGGCATTGTGGTTATGTTTTAAGAGAATATCTCATTATATTTTAAAAACTTACTGAAATATGTATGGATGAAATGATACAGCGCCTTGAGTTTGTTTAAAATGAATCCTGACAGGTGGAGGAGGAGGTTCTGGGGAAGGTACGACTGAAACGAGATTGGCCCTGAACTGCCAATTATTGAAGTTGGGTGATGGGCACATGGAAGTACATAACACTATTATTTCTACTTTGCTCACTATTTAAATTTTCCAAATGAAAAATTTTAAAACAAAAAATTTAAAGTTGACTATTATCTTTATTACAACAAATCCCCAGCTCTAAGTCTGACATGTAACTAAAAGGTATTAAAACTGTCAAAACCGAGCCTGCGCGTCCGGAGCCTGTGCTCCTTAACGGGAAGAGGCCACAGCAGTGAGAGGTCCGCGTACCACAAAAAAAAAAAAAAGTTTAAAAAAAACCTCTATAAAATAAATATTCCTATGATATGAAGGAAATTACATTGCTTGCTCTTTACAAATTCAATTATAATATAAAAACTAATTTTATATCCATGCTACTCCATGTTTATTATCTTATATTCTTTACTATTGGTAAGGTTTCTTCCAGAGTTAGAAAACTTTCATTACAGGAAGGTGCTTGCAAAAGAAATTTCCCCATAGTTTACAATTGCAAATAGTACAATAATTAAGAGAATGAGCTCCAGAATGGGACCAAATGAATTAAAATTCTACTTCTTAGTAGATCTGATCTCACCCCCTCTATTCTATACAGGAACATCACTTTTCTCTATCAGTTCTCCCTTTCTACAGGACAATTTCCATAAGCATACAACCACTATATAATTTCTCCTGTCCTTAAAAAAAAAACCAAAACAAACAAACAAAAAAAACCTCTTTTAACCTTCATCTATTACCCCATTCCTCTGCTCTCCTTTATAGAATTCTTCAGAAGAGTTGTTCATACTCATTATCTCCAGTCTCTCTCTTCCCATTCATTCTTGAACACACTCTTCAAACAGGACCTACGAGGCTTTATATGACCTACATCCACCCACCAGTCAACCACCACCACCACTACCCCCCAACACACACACACACACACACACACACACACACGTCATCCATCATCATCATCACCTCCCCCTGGATGACAGCCCTTTGCACATACAACCCTCCTTGTTTTTCACTCCACTCACACTGTTGGCTCTGCCCGGAAATCTTTTCCTCCGTATAGCTGCATGGCTTGCTCCCTTACCTTCTGCCACAATGCCACCTCAGCAAAGCCTTTTTTGATCTACCCCTTCCTGATCTGTTTTTTTTGTTTATAGCACCTACCGGCACCTGACATATTTTACCACATACTTTAGAATGTAGCGCACACACACGTAAACACCATGAATGCAGAAACGTTTGTCTACTTTACAAAGAGGCGCTCAAAAAATTTTTGTTGAAAGGAGAAATCAATGTCACATACTCCTCTTTCTCCAAATCAGTTTTTAGAAACTTTGGTGAAATAACACACGTGACATGAAGTAGTCTACAAAGTTAAAGATATCAGGGCCTCGCTCATCAGCTAGCAAGAAAAGGCACATCCTCACAACAGCCAAGCCTTAAACGTGGGAGGCAAGGCCTCCCCATTCTTTAGAAAAGGATTTCTTCCCTTCAGGACAGTGGCTACCACATGGGGCCCCTAGACTCTGGCGAAAGCAGGTAACCAGCCGGGTTCCAAGGCCAGGCGTAGCGGACCCTCTTCCCGCCAAAACTCACCGCCATGGCGCCGCCCGTCCGACTGTGCAAACCCACGACGGTGACTTCGGTGATCCCCCTCAAAGGAGTGGTTACAACCTTTCCCCTCCCTCTCTGCGAAGCCAGGCCTACCACGACACTAAAGCACACACTTCGCACCTGATGAGGCAATCTCGGGCTCACTAATTAAGTACCTCCGGGGGCATCTCATAGCCTGCTGGGAATCGTAGTTCCCAGACCCCTAGACCCCACGTCCTGCAGGCATCTATTGACTACATTTCCCAGAGGACAACAGGCTACGGAAGTGTACCCGATAAGCCACTCAGAGGGGACCCGGTAGTGACGTCATGAGCATGTTGAACTACAAAGCCCATGATGCAGTTCGGTGTCGCAGACTGCCGCGAGTGCGCCCTGACTGACGTGGGGATAGCCCACGTTCAACCTTTTCACCATATGGAGCTGGTTTGGGTGTCTTGTCAGGATGCCAGGATGCAAGGTGTATTCGTCCTCAGTGACTGAGGTGCTAATTATGCGTTGCCGTTGTGCACGGATATTTATCACTGTCGGTGGCATTCAAAAGTTCAGAATTTAGACATTTTGTAGCCACTTATTAACAATCTCCATTTTATTAAAGGAGAGGCTGGAAGCCTTCCACCTGGTCCCAGTGCCAAGCTCAGACTGTTTCATCCGTGTCACCAACCAAGACTGAGCTGTCTGAAGTACTAGTCACTAGCCACATTGTGGCTATTTAAATTAATTAAAATTAAGTAAAGTTTAAATTTTATTTCTTCAATCGCACTAGCCACTTTTCATGTGCTGGAAAGTCCACGTGCCTAGTTGTTACTATGTCTCTGGACAGTGCGGATATAGAACATTTCCATCATCAAACAAAGATGTATTGAAAAGTGCTGATCCAAGACTTTCACTTTCTGGTGGTCAGATTAGTTACTCTCACATGCATTCCTTTATTAATTCAATAAATAATCATTAAGGATCTACAAAGCACTTGGAGGGGTGGAGGTGTGCCCAGCCCAGAAGTGTGTCTTCCTAATGGAATAGAGGGAAAAGAAATTTTAATAAAAATTTTAACAAAAATAAATTTTGAATTATATATGTGTAATATATATTGTATTTACATTTTTCAACAGTTTTGAAATATAAATTTAATGATGGCCTAACACAATGCCTGGCACGTGGTATGGGCTCAATAAAAATTTGTTGAATGAAAGGAAGTTAAGAATGAACCTTAGGTTATAGAGAACCTACCAGCGGCTCTCCTGCCTCCAGGCTCTTACACGTACAAATACTCCGCATCATTTTCCACACTCTCTACCTTTAGCTACTAACCATTTAGACATCACTTCCTGACAGCCCAAGTCTGGGTTGAATGTCTGTTCCTAAATATTCTCTGAAGCACCCCCTTCCCGCCCTCCCTTGGGAAATTTATCTCACTGAATTTTAATTGCCTGTTGATTTATCACTAGAGTTAAGCTCTATGATAGCAGAGGCTGCCTAGCACAGTGTCTGGCACATAGTAGGCGCCTTATAAGTATTTATTGAATGAATGAAAGAATCCTCATCATCCACAGCTCTTATAACTAGGCTTAGGCTTTCCTGTTCCAATTCTGCCCTAACCAGTACTATTTGTCATCTCTGACTCATCAGCTTCCAATCCACGTTGGTTATTGAAATTATTCATACAACCAATATCTATTAAATACCTCCTATGAACATGACATAGAGGTAAGGTATAGTAGGGAACAAGACAGACACTGCCCCTGCCCTCATGGAACTTACAGTCTAAAGTGCATGAGCCATTAAAGAAGAAAATAAAGAAGTGATGATGTGATGACAAATTATGAAAATTATGAAAAACCTACCTCCATGCCTCCAACTGCATTTTTTTAAATTTTCCTATTTAAGTGACAAATATATTTTTCAAGGGTCACTTGGTTTTCATTCATTCGACAAAAATTTAATTCACTTATACTATATACAAGGCACTATCCTAGATGCTGGAAATACAACTCTTGAACAAGACAAGTGCAGTCACCTCCTTCTAGTGGAAGAGGCAAACACTGAAGCTATGGGAGCGATGGGAGGCCATGGAAGGGTTTTAAGTAAGGAAGGGACATGGTCCCATTTGTGTTTCATAGAGATCTTTCCGAAGAACGGTTGAAAGGGAGCAAAACTGGAAGCAGAAGGCTGTTGCAGTTGTCCAGGTGAGAGGTGACAGTAGTTTAGACTTTAGTGGTGACAGTAAAGAGAAAGGTAAACAGAGTCAAGAGGTATTTAGAAAATGAAAGTTATTACAGCTTAGTAATATGGCTTTTTAATTGGGAATTATTGATTCTTTGCTATGCCATGTGGATTACCCCCTCTAGATAAATGAAATTAGAAAGGTAGCATAGTGGATATTAGCTCAGGCTCTGAATCAGACCAAGTTCATCATTTACTAGCTGAGTGACCTCAGGCAGCTAAATTAACCACTGTAAAATAAAGGTAATAATAGTAAGTACCTCATAGAGGATTAAAGAAATAATATGTATTTAGGTATAAACCCTGTATATATATGCCCAGCATACAGTAAGCACTTTAAAATGTCAGATATTTTTATTACTATTTTAGGAAAATTGATCTATAAACACTAATCTGAATCTGATTAAAATAGAAAAAGCTTACCTGCACCGCATAATAATCTCTTTCCTAGCCTAACTGAGCTAGTTATCACCATATAATTGTGTGGTATGCCTTCACCAACTATCAGACCATATTGTGCTCATTCTTTAAAATGCCACAACAGAACTCACTTCCGCCTTATTTTATTTTGTTTTTCTTCCAAACCCACCCCACCGGTCACTCTACTCAATTCAATTGAATCAGCATTTCTAAATTCAGATGCATAAAGCTATAACTAGCTTTGGCTTGTCTCTGAGTCTCTTTATATTTGTTTTTCATGCATATTTACCTAAACTCCCAACCTTTATATGACACAGTTCAAGGAAGGAATTGGGGGCATTTATTTTCATACTTGTTCCACAAACATGGCACTCAATAAATATAGTTGTCACTTCCCTATCCTATTAGACACCTTTTGTTTTTAAATGGGTTTTTTTCCCAACATTAGTGTTCTACCTTAACTTTTATGTTTCCTGAATGGTGAACAGTTTTGTCTTTTTTTATGACCTAGGCAATGAATATAAAGAGAAGGAGATCCTTCTAGGCTTTATGGACTTTAGCTGATCCCGGGGTTGCTCTATGTGCAGCCTCCGACAGTTACTGGGCAGCAGAGGAAGCGTGTGTGCAATGGCTGTGCTCACCGGCCTTGGAGTCAGATGCCGGGGTCTGACTTGAAGCTCTGTCCTGTGCTAGCTCTGCTCCTTCAACCTTGGGACTCTGGGTCCTCACATGTAAAATGTGTGTGATGATAGTACCTACTTCCTAGGCCTGCTGTGACAATACAATGAGCTATACCAAGGAAGGTGATTAGCCCAATGTGTGGTTCATGGGCTAAGTGCTCAAGAAAGATTAATCTAAAGAGAAAGAAAGAGAAGTGGTGAATACTGGAGGCTAGTTTGATCAGTGCTGTGGTCTGGTCTGAATGTTTGTGTCCTCACAAAATTCATATGTTGAAATCCTAATGCCCAAGGTGTTGGCGTTAAGATTTGCGAGGAGCTTAGGTCAGGAGGGTGGAGCCCTTTTGAATGGGTTTAATGTTCTTATATAGGAGAGCCCATAAGCTCCCCAACCCCTTGCACTTTGTGAGGATACAAAAAGGAGTGTTCGACCTGGAATGGGCCCCTCACCCAGCCATGCTTGGCACCCTGATCCTCAGACTTTTAGCCTCCAGAACTATGAGAAATAAATTTCTGCTGTTTATAAGCCACCCAATCTGTGGTATTTTGTTATAGCAGCCCAAACAGACTAAGACAGTCATTTAATTAATGGGAATTCTAAATCTGATTGACATGAACTAGGAACAAGTAGCCATATTAATTAGAGAGACTTTTATATTTAGACAAATGTAACCAAATTAGAGAAGTTGCACTTCTCAAGTACCAAATTTTTGAGAAACCCCTGTTGCCTAGATTTCTCCTAAAGTGGTGATATTTGTAATTCTTAGGAATTAGAAATCACTCACTCATACCATGCCACTCCAGACTCAGGATCCATATGCTTCAGCCTGCTCCTGTCAACGTTGAACAGAGCATTGCCAGCTGTGTCATAGGGTCATATGGGAAATGTGACACTTGAGTTCCTAAATAACCTGCCTATCTAAATTGTTACCAGCATTTCCATCACCATTGTGAAGTAGTGGCTTCTTAAGAAACACAAGCAGGGGCTTCTTAAGAAACACAAGGAGGGAAGGAGAGGATGGACAGATGGATGGAAAAGAAGAAAAGGAGGAGAAAAAAAGAAATAGGTAAAGACAACCAATCACATATCATTGAGTTTCCAATTTCAGTAGCTATATTTTTTAAATTTCTTTTGTGCATTTACGACATTTAGGATTCCTATTTTTACAATAACAATGAAATCAGACTGGTCTAAACTATGTCTTTTCCCATTGTCTTTTCCTACTAAGAGATTTTACCTTCAGCATCATCAAATTTCATTTCTCTACTAGATCATACCAATCTACATTCATACATATCTTCTAACCTAATGCAAGCAAGCAGACAAGCAAAAAAACCAGAATGAAATGCAAACAAATCCTCCCTATCCCACCACACCTTTTGGTACCTTCATTGTTCTACTCCCCTTTACAGTAAAACTCTTCAAGAGAAGTGTCATACTATCTCTGATTCCTCTCTTCTCTTTCTCTCCTGAACTCTGACCAATCATGTGTTCACCTCCTCCATTTCATGGAATTGTCCAGGTCATCAATGACCTTCATGCTGCCAAATCCAATGGTCAATTCCATGTCCTCATCTTACTTGATGCAAGAACTACATTTGACACAGTTGAAAACTCCGCCTTTCCTGAGGCACATTTCTTCTTTCTCTGTTCTCCTCCTGCCTCATTGGCCAAGTCTTCTCAGTTTACTGGATATTATTCCCCTTCCTTCTAAATAGGAGAATGCCCTAATGGCCTTTCTATCTAGATATACTCACTTCCTAGGTGATCTTATTTAGGCCCATGGTTTCAACACACTTTACATGCTGATGAATCCCCAGTTTTTAACACAA